TCTAGATTGCTTCGGTCATTAGTGTGGATAAGTAAGTAAATGGATAAGGACAGGGAAGCAAACACAAGATGTATGTGGTTCACCCAGATTGGCTACATCCATGGAGTAGATGAGTTCTTATTAATTGTGAAGGGTTTACACAAGTACATAGGTTCAAGATCTCTTTTAGTGAGTACTAGTGAATGATTTAGTACAAATGACATTAGAAAATATTGTGAGAGAATGATCTCTATTTATAGAAGAGAATTTCTAGTTTCATTCTGACATTGACATGTGTCGTGTTGTGATTGGCTTCTGATGTTAACACATGTCGCGTTATGATTGGCTTCTGATGTTGACATGTGGCGCGCTGTGATTGGCCTCCTGGTTGGAGGGAAACGCTTCTGGGTCCTTGACGGTATAACGTTGACCAGTGCTCAGTAGTTTCGGGATTAGTCAAGTATGGTATAAACAGTGCTCCCCTAAGTTCCCGAGTGAGGGAAGCTCCTCGGTTGGGGACTTGCAAGATCTAAGCCATTGAGTAATCACGAAACTTCTAAGTACCGAAGTGTGATATCATTTTCACTTGCCTTATCTATCTTATATGTAGATGTGGCATCTTCTCTGGAAGTACTTTTCCTTCATCTAGGGGTGGTATCTTTAACCGATGAAGATGCACAAGGTAATATATCAATTTCACTTGAAGCTTACTTGTAGTTTCGGGCTTGGTCAAGTGCGATACAAACCCTATTGTAGGAGTCCCCCAAGTCGCCGAGCTAGGAGATTTGCCGAAGGAGGTAATAGACAAGGTAAGCAATCAAACTTCCAAGCAAGCAACCTGGATTGAAGGTTCGACTTCGGCTTCTGGTTGATTATTCTCATTCTCCTTGTGTCGTAAACAGCAACAAGGATAAGGAAAAGCAAATGGAGAAGAGATGATATTATATACTTTTGCTTTTGAAGAAGTAACTTTCCACATGCTTATTCTTGAACATGGCTGGAAGGTTTTCTGGTTTCCTTTAGAGTATAAGGCCGACTCAAGAATTTAAGGGTCAAAACAAGTCCATTAAATCTAGAGTACGTTCGACCCTGATGATATGGGATACTTTTGCTGTTGACAAAGTAGTGGATGTATCGGCACGTGTTTTGTTACGTTTGTCTCCACATGCTTCCTTGTATCCTTCTCACTTGCCCTATCTGTTCCTCAAGCAGATGTATCAGGCAAAGGGTTCCAGGCAGTCAGTTCCTGACTGGAAGCTTGATTCCAAGTGCTGACTGATTGCTTTCTTTCTCCTTGTCTTGCAAGTAAGAACAAGGCTAAAGGAAAAGACAGGGAAAAAGTATGATATGAGATACTCTTGCTTTTAACCCTGATGATATGAGATATTCTTGCTCTGGTGTGGCTTGTTTGCAGAGGTATTATCGGGAGGAAAAGAAGCTGAGTATTTCGAGAGACTCTGTTGAGAGTACCCTCCCGAATGTGAAGAAAAGTTAAGCATTTTTTTTATTTGTAGGTCTGCCTGGCTGTGGAGGACAGAGGTCGACATATATAGGAGTCTCCATAACAAGTAGTAGTGCTATTCCTTTACCATTCTTGGTCATAACAATGTAGTGGGAGCTGCAAGCTTCATGTGTTTTAACTTTGTCAGAGCACTTTGAAAAAGTGGTATGTGGTATCTGGAAAGCTGATGTTGCGTGTGAAGATTGCAGACAAGCTTTATCCAAGGAAATTTGGCTCTCGAAGTTTGGAGAGCGGTGCCTCTTCGGTTTTCGAACAGGCAATCCTGTCGGGGATTTGGCTCTTGAGATTCAGAGAACGGTGCCTCGGAGACCTCCCCAACGTGGTTAACACCCCATAAGGGACAGTTTCTTCCGTTATCTATAACCCAATTTTCCATTTGAACCTCCTTCCACGGTCGCCACTATTCAGGGAGTTGCTTCAGTCTCTACCGCATGGGTACACCTTGCCTGGTTCAGGAAACGGGTTGCTGCTCAGTAGCGGCGACAATGAGAGAGATGAGCGGATGAGGGGTTTTGTATGACCCAGATGCAGATGAAAGTCTTGGGAGGTAGTTTGATAATGGAGTTTTGGAGTTCTCGAGAAGAAAAGGTGTGAGAAAGAGAGGAGAGAGAGCACTTGTTGTTGTTATTCTAAGGACGACTCAGTTGCCCAGTACCTGGCGTCTCGTCTCCAACGGTTTCAAACACCCACACAGAGACCCACAAGATCGAATGCTTCCACTACCGATTCTCTTCGACTTCTTCACCACCTCCTCCAGACGCTTCGTATTGGCACCACTCTCTCTCTCACCACTAGCGTGCTCCGGACGCACCAACTCTAGAAAGCACCATGTTTTCCAAGGCAGCATTTGGCTGCTCCGACGCAGAGATTCCCCACTCCTCCATTGCTTTTGTCGGTAAAAGCAGAAAGGGAAACAGAGAACTTGAGTGCCATCTGCACTGTGCAAAGTAAAAGCAAAAGTAAAACAGAAAACGAAAAAAAAAAAGCAAAGCAAAAAACAAAAGCAAAAGCAAAAGCAACGCACCAACGATCTTTGTTTTTGTATGATGTAATTTATTTTTCTTATCTTTCGGAGACATCTATATAAACTCCATCAGAGGGTAATAATATAAAAAAAAAAAGGCAAGGCCCAAAATAAATGGGCTGGAATGTTGTGTGGAGAGCGAAGGCCCATATGCGCAAAAGAGCCAGGCCTTCAATTATCACCAACCAGGCGACCAAAAATACGCCCAGTACTACAAAAAATTATTCGGCAACCTGCCGCTATTACCACCAACCAGGTGATCAAAAGTATGCCTAGTACTCCAAAATTATTCGGCAATCCGCCGCTATTATCACCAACTAGGTGATTAAATGTACAACCCATACTTTAATATCATTTGGCAACTAGCCATTCATGCCACCAACCAGGTGATGAAATGTACAACCCGTACTCTCATTCATACCACCAACCAGGTGATCAAAAGTACGCTCAGTACTCATAATTATACATGAGCATTACTCATGTCATTCATACATAAACATTCATAAGCATCACTCATGACAATCATACATAAAATTCATGACCATCATTCATGAGCATCACTCATGACAACATCCATGAGCACCACTCATGTTAATCAACATAAACATTCATGAGCATCACTCATGTCAATCAGCTTCAAAAACTTCATTTACAGAGCTCTAGCTTCAAAGCTTCATTTACAGAGCTCTAGCTTCAAAAGCTTCATTTACAAAAGCTCTAGCTTCAAAAGCTTCATTTACAAAGCTCTAGCTTCAAAAGCTTCATTTACAGAGCTCTAGCTTCAAAAGCTTCATTTACAAAAGCTACAGCTTCGAAAGCTTCATTTATAGAGCTTTAGCTTCAAAGCTTCACTTGCAAAGCTTCACCTACAAAGCTTCAGTGCAGGGTATACAAATACCGCCTCCGAACAACCGCCACTTCGGCCCATACATGTATTCAATTTGAAGTCTCCAGCCAACAGACTCTATTGACCGAAGACTTGGGGGACTACATTATGTACCATATATTGGGCCTCAACTGGGCATCATGAAAAATACTTGGGGGACTCTAGCCCATTATTTATGTATTAAGGAGCGATCCCTTATTTTATAAAAAGGACTCCCTCACCATCATTAGAGAGCATTAACTCTAGCCCATTATTTATGTATTGAGGAGCGATCCCTTATTTTATAAAAGGGACTCCCTCACCATCATTAGAGCAACATCAAATCTAGCCCATTATTTATGTATTGAGGAGCGAGCCCTTATTCTATAAAAGGGACTCCCTCACCATCATTAGAGAGCATCGCCGCCTACTGAGCAACCGCTTCGCCGCGAACATCAGCTCTAGCCCATTATTCATGTATTGAGGAGCGAACCCTTATTTTATAAAAGGGGCTCCCTCATCTTCAACGCTACAAGCCGAGCTAACCAAGGCAACATAAGCCACGAGCCTCGCAGCCTCGCAGCATGTGCTACTTCTAGTTGAGCATCATTTCAGATTGAGCACCGCCTCATATCGAACATCAGTTCAAGACAACATCTAGTTATTTCGGCCCACACATGAACTGAATTTCAAGTCTCCAGCCAAAAGACTCTTGATTGAAGACTTGGGGGACTACTGTTTATACCATATTTAGGGCCTCGTATTTAGATCTCGTACAAATACTCGGGGGACTTAAATGTAATTATGTGATAAAGGAAGGGGCAAATATGTAATAAGTGATGAGTCCTTATTCTATAAAAGGACCCCTCACCCTCACAATGAGGGGAGACCATTTTTAGGCCATAGGAAGAGTTCTCTCACCCTCAGAAGCTCTCTCCCTCACTCCCCTCACTTCTCAGAGAAATACAATAATTAGTGTGGATGTAACCCAAACCTTGGGGTGAACCACGATACATCTTGTGTTATTTACATTTCTTGCAGATTCACGGTCGGATTTACGTTGTTCCAAGACCTCCGGTTTTGTGCATCAACACTACCTTTCCCTATTCTTTTTCTTCATTTATTTATCGACGAAAAACAATGATGGTATCACATAGTTGAGTCAAGTAATTAAAACACAAATTAAGGTATCACACTTCTAGTTTCTCTCTTAGAGGATTCAACCCCTTTACTTGACATTCAACTCCTAGCCTACTTATTCTCCATCATGAAGTGGTTGTAGTTAACATATGTACTTTGTTGAAACTTCAAGAAGCTCCTCATTCGGATCTTTGATAGCTCAAAGGATCTTGTACGCATCATAACTTAGTAAAACTGAGTTACGATGAACTCTGATGAACCAGTTCCAAAAAAGGAGAGCTCCGATGACGATTTAATCAACCTTGGAAGGTTTCATATTTCTCTTAATATCTCTAATATTTTATTTTTCTTTTAAAATTAAAACAAAGGATTTTTGCATCAGATCAATGTGGTTGTTCGACATAGGAATAAACAAATCGAATAAATGAATTTCATGTTTAATTCTTGTGTATTAATTTTTCAGCTTGTCAGGTGAGCAAATTTTAGAGCTTGCGAAAGGGAGGTATGGCAAGAGAGATGGAGGAGATAGATCAATAAAATGCGATATAGATTCAATAAAACGTGGTATACATTCTATATGGATTGGGATAACCAGTTTGTTCGTCATCATGATTTTTTTTGGCCCGATGCTTGTGGACCCTTTGTTCTTGTACGTTCCCATCATCAATGAAAATATAAAGTGTCTCACATTGGACGAAAAATTAAAGAAGATAGTTATTGTTTTGAGAGCATTTACAGATCTCCCTTATCTACTTAAAATCATCGATCATGTGCTGCGTCCGTGGTGCACATTGAGCTTACTGGAAGATTTCCTTGATTTTGCGGAATTGGGAATCCCAGTCTCCCCAATACAAAACATTTTAGCTGTTCTTCCTATTCCACAAGTAAGCCAATTACTTTTATGGAGTAAATTATTTTTCGTAATCTCTTAAGTCGTATATTAGGAATTAGGATAATTTGATTTTGCTGATTTTGTCACACAACACTTAAGTTTAACTAATTTGTGTACAGATCGTAATTCTAATTTTCCTTCCGACAACGAGGAACTCAAAATCTTTGAATATAATGAAGTTTTTGAACTCACTTTTTGTATTGCAATATGTTGCACGAGCTTATCCAATGTATAGACTATGTACGGTCTTTAACAAGAAAGCACGTGAAACTAGCAAACAACTTGCAAAGTACAAGCGAATATGGATTCCAGGTGTCTTAAATTTCATCATGTACATCCTTGCTAGCCATGTAAGTTATTGTCTTGTCTTAGTTTATTTTAACTGCTCCCTAAAGTTGCTTGTAAATATCGTTGAGTTACAAATGTAGTTCTTGGTTTGTTAGGTCCTTGGGGCATTTTGGTACTTTTTTTCTGTTCAGCGAGAGATAGATTGTTGGATCTCTACTTGTCGAAGTGAAAATGGATGCAACTTAAGTACTTTACAATGTGATAATACTACGTTCAGAAACGTTACAGTTCTAAATGATTTATGTCCAACAAATCCACCAAATCCAATAGCATACGATTTTGGCATATTCGTTGACACTCTCCAGTCTGGCATATTGGGAACAACAAATTTTCCTCAAAAACTCTTGATGTGTTTCTCATGGGGATTTCGAAATCTAAGGTTTGTCCTACATAAGTATTTTTATTCTTAGATATTGCTTCATGCACTTGGGTTTTTTACAATACGCCGGTACCGGTGTTTGACTATCAAGATTCAGTCACGCAAGCCGTCCAATGAGTTGTCCCTTTTCAAATATTGTTTTAATATATTGCTACAATGAATTCTGCAGTTCTTTTGCTTCAAACCTCAACTCTAGTACCTATGCATGGGAAAGCGTCTTTGTAATTTTTATTTCGATCAGTGGCCTGGTACTATTCATGTATCTGCTTGGACATGTGCAGGTCTGTGATGAATTATGTATTGTATATCTGGTTTTCTTTTGAGTAGTTTCTACATATATGCATGTAAATTTCAGGATTTAATAAACTCAATGTCAAACCTCCATGTTGTGGTGTAGACATTTATGCAGGCAATTAGCAAAACATCTCAGATACGGCAGAGGGTGGGAGTCATATTTCCACAAATAGGGTTCATGGTATCTGAATATGGTCTTAAAGAGGGGGTAGAATATGCGATTTGGAAATTGGTAAGAGAAGCACTTGAAGAGGACGAAGATAAACCTGCGGAGAATATCTTCTCGTTACTTCCTTTGGAACTTAAGGAACATATGAAGCGGCATCTCTTCTTGGCTACACTACGGAAAGTAATGTCCTATCTCTCTCAATTATTCGTAGCTCTATATAGTGTTGTATAAACTTGTGGCACCAGATGGTTTTTCGAATAATCTAGTTTACGAACTCAAGCTATTATATAGATAGGAGCATGAACTCCCCTTTGAGTTCTTTTGGCGTGCTTTCGTGAGTGTACTTCTGAATTCTTAAGTTTCTAATAACATGATGTTGCTTAGATGATTATCATCCGTCCTAGTAACATGATGTTGCTTATTGGATCTTATCGATGTATTCTTAAGTTTCTAATTACATGTATGAATTAACCCCAGTTGCCAGGGCTTGAAAACAAAGACAGACGAGTGTTGGATGAAATTATGAAGAATCTTGAGCCAGTTAACTATTCTGATGGTAGCTATATTATTCGAGAGGGGGAGCCACTGGATAGGATGCTCTTCATCACGCAGGGCATTGCACTTGCTTACAAGACTAGTACTACACATCTTGAGAAAGGTGATGTTTATGGGAAAGAACTTATAGGTTGGGCGGCGACATCTACCCCATTTTCCGGCTTACCTATCTCAGACCAAACTGTCAAGTCCCACGAAAAAGTTGAAGTCTTTGCAATCAGGGCTGCAACATTAAAACGTATTGTCTCTGACTTCTCGACGCATTTCAACAGAGAGGATATTATTATGGTGGAAATAAACTGATCATGGAATTTCATAGGGAATTTCTTAGTTATCTGTAACTAGTAACTATATTTTTTACTCAAAATAACTATATATTCAGCTATTCAACATTAGCAAAACACAAGAATACCTGTCAGGTTCAATTGTACCACAATTGTAATAGAGAAAGCTCTTTATGTGATTTTCAATGGTCGTTACAGTCATAATACGAATCATGGAATCGAACGAGAAGGAGTCCGTTTCCTTTCCTACTTGCATTGAACAGATTCAAACAGGAATCCAACAATATATGTACATACAAATTGTTAGGTACTCCACCCCTACATCTTCTAATTACTTTCCAGAATGGGTTTTTACGGTACAAGGCACGGATATTGTTAAGCCCTTCCTCTCCTTGGCGCACCAAGCTTGTCGAAGCTTATCATTCCATACCTGCTGCAGGTCATCAAGGTGTGATTAAAACCTACCACAAGCTTAAGAAGGACTTTTATTGGCCGAGTATGAAGAATGATGTCAAACTCTTCGTTTCGGAGTGTCACATCTGCCAACAACATAAGTATGAAACAGTGGCACCTCCTGGAAAACTGATGCCTCTTCCAATTCCTGAACGAATTTGGGCTGATATAAGCATGGACTTTATCGTCGGACTTCCTAATTGCAAGGGTAAGACTGTTATCATGGTGGTGGTTGATCGGCTGTCCAAATATAGTCATTTTGTTCCTATGGCACATCCATATACAGCGGCTAGTGTAGCACAGCTTTTTCTTGAGCATATTTTCAAACTCCATGGCATGCCCAACTCTATAGTCAGTGACCGTGATCCGATCTTCATAAGCGCCTTCTGGAAAGAGTTATTCAAACTGCACAAATGCAAAATGCCAAGTTGTGTATATGAGTTCGGGCTACCATCCTCCCTCAAACTGACGGTCAAACGGTCAAACTGAGGTTATGAACCGCTGCTTGGAAACCTACCTGCGCTGTTTTGTTGGAGGTCAACCTAAAAAATGGGTACAATGGTTATCGTGGGCCGAATGGTGTTTCAATACCTCATACCACACTTCTTCTAAGTTCACACCCTTCGAATTAGTGTATGGTTATTCCCCACCTCATATCACACCGTATGAACCTGGTTCTACAAAGTTCGCTTCTGTGGAGCAATGTTTGGTTGAGAGGGACAAGGTTTTGGAGATTCTGAAAAGGAACCTTGAATTAGCTCAGACAAGGATGAAGTCACAAGCTGATCAAAAGAGATTGGAACGGAGTTTTGCAGTTGGCGATATGGTTTATATAAAACTTATTCCTTATCAACTCCAATCCTTGGCTGCACACAGTTATCATAAACTGTTACCCAGGTTCTATGGTCCCTATAAGGTTCTCAGCCGAGTAGGTGATGTGGCTTACAAACTTGAACTTCCTGCCATGTCTAAAGTCCACCTTGTTTTTCATGTCAGCAGTCTTAAGAAGCACTTAGGGCCGAATGTGGTAGCCAACAACCTGTTGCCCCAAGTTACAGAAGATGGTCTTCAACAGTTGGTTCCTGCCTCCATTCTTTCCAGGCGCATGTATAAGAAGGGTAATTCTGCCGGCGTTCAATTGCTTGTTCAGTGGCAGGATCAAGATGCCAGTTCTGCAACATGGGAGGACTTTGAAGACTTCCAAGCTCGATTCCCTGCTTTCTCTCTTTAACCTTGTGGACAAGGTTTTTTCGAAGGCGGGAGTAAATGTTATGATCTTGCAATTGGCCTATTAGTGAATCCTTGGATCACTATGAAGTAGTAGTTAAATAATGGGGGTCAGATTGTATTAGAGTAAGGATTAGATTGTAATAGTCTTGTTAATTGTGGGTTTTAGTTTTAATTGAGTTGTTGTTATGCCAGATGGCACTCTCGCGAATGTAAGGGCTGGCTTGTGGGTTAAAAGCCTCAGCTAGTGGATTGAAAAGCATATATGAAAAACAATTAGAAATTTCCTTTTCTTGCTGTGCAATTCCTCTCCTCAGTACCCACCATTACCACACAGTCAAGGTTGTAGCTAGGTATTGGCTTGGGTTTTATCACAAATGACAATACATATGCCAAAGTCAGAAACAACTGATCAGATGCGAAACATTAAGCAATTACTAAACAAGATCGTAAGTGCCAACTAACAACACATCAACGCGGAAAGTTATCCACAATATCGACCGAAAAAATCCCTAATTATAGTCCATTAAAACCAGCATTCTAATCTAAATTTCTACACATAAAGAAAAAGAAAGCGCTGTGGTCCTGTAATTTGTTGCTATGCAGCGTGGGCTAGCTGATTCGAAATATTCACCAGTAGCAACCAAATAAAAACATGGTATTCAATTTTTCCGGATTTTCTCGGAATCCAAACGGAGGATAAGAAAAGGGGAGTTAGGGCAGAGGACAAACTCACGAGCTGTCTGACGCGGAGAGCCTAGAGAAATTTCCGAGCTATGATCGTAGCCATGGCCGGTGGGCTGAGTCGATGGGTCTTCGTCGACGCGAGTGGGTTCGATTTGGGGACGTGAGCAGGCCAGTGCCAATCCTACATTTTCTCCCCTTCTGTCGATATGGGGCTCTGTGCAAGTGACCCCTCTCTGGAGTAGTAGGATTATTTTTTCTCTTTTTTTTTTCCCTCCCCTTCATTTCTCTTCTATTTGAACGCTCACGGTTAAATCACATCAACATCTTATATTAATTTTTTTATAGTAAAAGAAAGACAAAATAAGAGAATGTAAGATGAGAGGATATAAGTGGATGGAAAGAGGAGGGGAGATAATCCTAATCTGCCCTCCCTTCTCTCATTTTTTTTTTCTTCTAAAAAATATCATTCTTACCAACTATTTGTACCATCATTTGTACAATCTGTTTAATAAGAATGGAATCTACTTCCGTTTAATAGACCTTATCTCTATTAAATGATAAGTGCAACACTACTTTTTTTTTTTCCTTCTTCTCTTTGGTTGTCCATTAGGAATTTTAGAAAAACTAGAGAATTTAAGGTCATCTCTAATCGATCAGGCCATAGGGCTACTGTAGACATTGAAATTTCGGTGGCATAAATGTTAGCCATTGCATTAAGATTACATTTGTAAACATTTAAATTTTGGTGAAATAAATGTTGACCATTGTATTAAAATTACAACCTTCATTCACTTCACCTACATCATACACTAAGTTCACCTACAACTTCCACCCAAGTTCACCTACAACATCCACCAAGTTTTACCTACAAACATCCACCAAGTTTCACCTACAACATCCACCAAAATTCACCTACAACTTCCACCAAAACAAATGGATGGTGGTGATTCATTCCCAAAGCCTATAAATAGGCTCCTCCATCAAAGAATCAAGGAGAGGATTTTACATACATTTTCTCTACTCCCAAATTGGAAGAGAATTCACACCACACCAAAGCCTTGAAGCCTTGAAACTCTAAAGCTTTCAAGCAAATTCCGAAGAATCAAGAAAGCCCTCTTCGTTCTTCGTCAAAATCCTCCTTCAAGATCAAGCCCCAACGGCCCTTGAAGAAACTTCCACTAATTCAAGATCAAGCCCCGACGGCCCTCGAAGAAAGTGTTCATCATTCATCATCCGTTCATCCTAAAGATCAAGCCCCGACGGCCTTTTGGATCAACAACAACAAATCTACCCATTACAAAGATAGAATCAGAGGCTAAATTTGTAGAAGAGATTGTAACCCTAAATCATTAATACAAATATTATTTTGTACACCTTGTTCTTGTTTCAGGAATTTCCGTGTTTACACATCCATTGCGGATATATCAAGCATGATCACTCCTAGAATGTGTATGGTGCCCCATTGCAGATTAACCAAGCAAGATCATTTCATATAATACTAAACAGTGATCACCCTTCGCAAATACACGAAGCATGGTCTCCCAATACGGATTAACCAAGCAAGACTATGCATGCATCTAATAACTTAGGTAGAGATCACTCATTATTTATATACTAAGCATGATCCTCCTTCGAATGCGGGGTCCCGCAATACAGATTAACCAAGAAGGACCATAAACATGCATCTAATAGTTTGATTTTCTGATGCGGATTAATCAAGCTAGATCACCCATGTACCACACTGCTACATGGTGCAGTCACATCATCACACATTACCCATCACACTCAACATGATTTACATAGTAAACATATTCTCTATCACTGCCATGTATCAAACAAATATCTAATCATACAAAGTACAATACGTGAGATACCTTGATATACTAGATCTACTGAACTTCAAATAGAGTCCATGACTCATAATCTCATACTAGTAATCACATTACCAAGACTTCCATCTCTATCTCACGTGGTGTAATAACGTCAGGTTCAATAGGCATTCGTATTGGCATACATTCATTTTGATACTCCTTGTTCCGAGATATTAACCTAGGCTCTAATACTAATCTGTCACAATTCGAAAATTTAACCCCGAGAGGTGATTAAAATTATGAATTGATTACGTAGTACCAATTAAATTCCTCTTAATTTGTGATTGCTTCTAACTCTTAGGTTACATTGCTTACGTACCTTAAGATGGAATCAAGCCATTAGTTCATCTCCTTGTTTCTAGGTAAGTGTGCCCTAACATGTTCCGTTTACAGTTTCGAACAAATCTTATGTGTTTTTCTAATTGAGAAATCTCTTTTCACTAGAACAAGCCCGCTACAAGCACACCAAATTATACTAGTTAACCAAGCTGACAACTATCGACCAAATCGAACTATCAACTATCAACTCTAGATGCTTTAACCAATTGGACCTGGTTTTCCATGACCGCTATAACTTGGATATGATCGATAGTCTTAAAAATGGGAACAAGGAGTCAGTGCACTTACGTCGAGCTACATTACTACATGAAGCTTAAAATTTTGAGTAATGCAAGAGAGACTAAATTTTGAAAACTAAAGGACATGAAATTTGATGATTGGTTTATTGTTTAAGCGTTGATAGACATGCTCATTTCTACTAGTGACACATAATTTAGTTTGCAATTTTTATCTCTAAATTTAGTCTCCCTATCATTATTCCAAAATTTTAGCTTACATCAACCTGTATAGGTCATCCAAACGCAGCGTATGATGCATGTGACTATGTGAACCTAATTCCGAAACATTTTCATCAACTCAAGTCTTTCTAATTCTACCAAAATATGTCAA